GTTCCAGCATCTGGCAGTCAGAATGTTAAACTCCCAACTGGCCTTTAACTTTGTGGAACTATGAATATTACAAGATAGAACCAATGCAGCATGGTATTGGCCTTCATCAGTCAACCCATGAGGACTATCCATATTAACCTCCGTTAAGCTCCTAGACGCCCTCTGGGCTGTCTCCATTCCTGAAAGCCTGGGAAAATGCTCTTCCCTGAGGATCATCAGACTCAGACTCTATTGGACCAATGAAGGAAGCAAACTTCTGGCTGAAGATGCTTTCATAGTTAAGGATTCATTTGCTCAGTGACCTTGGCTGTGCTGGTATCAGACACATAAGGCCACTTCTCAACACCTACGTCCCAAACAAGATCCCTGTGTTCTCAGTAGCCAGAGTACAATCAGCCAGGATCGGATAAGTCAAAAGAAAACTTAACAGGCACCTGGGCATGGCTTGGGATCTGGAGCCTATGCAGAGTTTGGAACCCAGGCATAATGTCAGCTGAAATCTTGCTGAGTGAGTGCATGTCTGTGCTTGCTGAACTCTTCACAGGATTTTTTGGTGAAATCTGAGGCGTGGGGCACCGCAGTAATCAGAGGTATAGCTAACAACGGTGTGAGCAGGAGATAGAAACAATAGGTTTCAAGCCCCGACAAAGTTCAAATTGCTGAGGTGGATGAATGTACTGCACTTCTCATGGAGTATCAGATGTGTTACTGTTTCCATCTGGTGGCTAACTAGTAGAGGAGCAGCACACACAATGGCATTTCCTATGTGGGATATGTTTACACAGCAGAGCAAACGTCAAATTAAGATACGCAACTTCAGCTACATCAATTGCCTAGCTGAAGTTGAAATAGCTTAACTCGGCTTTTGGTGCTGTCTTCACAGCAGGAAGTCAAAGGAAGAACACTCTTCCTTTGACTTCCCTTGCTCCTCGTGAAATGAGGGTTCCAGGAGTCAGAGTAAGACATCCTCCAGCTCGACATTATTTTGAAATAACGGCTTGCTGTGTAGACGCGCATTACGTTATTGTGGCATAACGTCAGATATATCCTTAGACTAGTAATGCTTGTTAATTTTTCCCATGTGAACAAACCCTTTATGGCCATTCCGGATACACAGCCATGAAACTTTCTAAGAGCTGAGTTGTTAAATGTGATGCTAGGGTCTTTGTGATTCTTCCTCAGTGGGTTTTTCTGCTTTTGGGTTTCTGCAGAGCCTGAAGGTATAGCTCAACAGCGGGCACACATAATCACCAGATACAAATTGAACTCATGGGTATATAGGAGTAAACTGAAAGCAATCAAGTTGTGTTGATTGAATTGCACTGGACTAAATCCAGAAAGCAAAATCTCTGATCCAGGATACAAAGTGCTGCTGGAGTATCGCTTAGTATTTAAGAGTGACTACAGGTTGAAATTCTCTAGCCCGGCATCCTCAGGACCTGACCAGTGCCAAACCAGAGAATTTGCTGAACCACAAGAGGTCGATAGTATCTAGCAGCATTGACAACAAATCCATTGATTACTGGGCTCTTAGAAGACATTAGGGGTAAATTAGAGCTAAATGACAGCAGAGAACAGAGAGCCAGGACTGATGGTGGCAAACAAACTTTATGGGACCATGGGAAACTTGGCCACACCCATGATAAGCGGACATCAGGCTAGCTAAAATCATGCCAGACCATGGATGTTGCCAGACCAGAGAGTTCTGGACTATAGAGGTTCAACTTATATGTATAACTGTTGATTAATACAAGGTACAAAGATATGAAGCAGGTCTGGATTCTGGTTCTAACACCAGTTCCCCTCTGCTCTATAACATTCACTGTTGTTTGTCTCTAGAGTGCATGGTGGGTCCATAGGACCTATTGACCAGTTAGAGTCACTATTTATTTCCTGATGTAAGTATGTTTTGAAAATAGACTCTTCCTGCTACTTGAATTATGCTAAGGAGGCTGAGCTGTGGATAGACTATGTGTGATTTGCACATAGGGTTGGCAAGATTCTAATGTCAAAATTGATTTCACCAGCTGGGTGAACCTATGCTGTTTTCCATGCTCTTATGTACAGTTAACATCGAGGATTATTAGTGTGTTTGCTGGGGCTTGTTCATTTTTCTTGGGGAAAGGGATAGTGGAAGATGGAAAAACTCACAAACTTCCCTAGCCATGGGTTTATTTTGGTAACCCTCCCCTTTCCCCGACGATACCAGAATCACACAGACTGATGCAGTAGCCCAGTGAGTAGCAGGTAGTTTGGAGACTTCCTGCCATGAAGACAGTAACATATGCTCCTGGGCTCTCCCCTCAGTCGCTACAGGCACTTATTGTACCAGCACTGGTTCACAGTGGACACTTTGCACCAGCAATGATCTGAGTGGAGGATACGAGGGTTTAAGAGACATGGAGATCTAGTGTGAGATGGAAATCCCTGCTGAAAGGCTGCAGAACGATAGGAGTTCAAAGAGTGTTGGGAAACCTTCCAGGGCCTGATCTTTCCTGGCTACCTGAAGGGCCATGGTTTCTCTGCTGTGGCCCCAGCCCCAGCCCTCCCCAGTAGTCAGGGAGCAGAGCTGCTGCACCACTGTCGCACCTCTCCTTGGAGGCTGGGGAGCCAGGCTGCCTGCCGTGGCCCCAGCCTTCCCAGTGGCTGGGGTGTGTAGGCAATTTTGTCTACGTTACTGGCTGCCCATGTTTGTACTGTGTGCTCTCATGTCTTCCTTTGTGGCTCTAAGTGTAGGCTTCTAGCAAATATCTTTAGTCCATTACCTCAAGAAGTCTATGGTGAAGACCTAGAGGTCCTGAATTCAAACTCTCCTGTTGTTCTGGGGTTACATTCCATACCGGATGAGGATGGAGACACACTCTGAAGTGGAGACCTACTTTAAGTTTAAGTGTTAACAATGTACTCCATCCCTGCTCCAAAGAGTTTAGACAAAAGAAGATCAAGGTACCATGATCCAGTGGCTGGAAGCTGAAGCTACACAAATTCAGACTGGAACTAAGGCATATTCTCACTGTTGAAATACAAATAACCACAGGAACCCCTTCACCAAGTCACATCTAGACTTGCTTTCATTTAGAAAGAAGATATGCAAATTCGGCATGAATTTGCATATCTTCTTCCAATCGCTTTTTCGAAAGAGGTTCTTTCAAAAAAGAAAGTAGTCTAGACGTGGTTCTTTCAAGAAAAACCCCTTTTTCGAAAGAACTGTGTAAACCTCATTTTTTTAGGAAGAAAGGTTCTTTCGAAAAAGGGTTTCTTTCTCAAAAGAAGCACGTCTGGACTACTTTCTTTTTCGAAAGAATTTCTTTCGAAAAAGCGATCAGAAGAAGATATGCAAATTTGCATTGAATTTGCATATCTTCTTTCGAAAGTGAAAGCAAGTCTAGATGTGCCCCAAAGCTTGTGATGGATTCTCCATCATTGGCAAAAGATCCGCTCCAGGGATTACTTTGGGGAAGTCCTCTGGCAATATTGCTATACTGGAGGACAGACTAAGATTACGATCCCTTCTGGCCTTGGAATCTATGAGTCAATACTGGAGGACAGACTAAGATTATGATCCCTTCTGGCCTTGGAATCTATGAGTCGAGAAACTCCCTAAAACATTTCAGATGCGGTTCTTCTCTGTGTAGAACCCATGTCCTACTATGCCAACTATGTATCCAGAGATGTTTATATAGAAGGAACCTAGGTCTTCTGCTGGCACAAGGGGTGTGTCTAGACTACAGGGTTTTTTCGAAAAAAGTGGCCTTTTTTCGAAAAAACTTTACCGGCATCTAGATTACTGCTGTGTTCTGTTGACAGTAAATCAAAAGAAGGCATCTAGATTACCGCTGTGTTCTGTTGACAGTAAATCAAAAGAATGTGGCAGTTTTGTTGATGGCGGTAAATCTCATTCTATGTGGAATAATGCCTTTTTTTGAAAGTGCTCTTGCGAAAAAAGGCGCTATTGCATGAAAATGGGGCTTTTTCGAAAGAGAATGTCTAGCCTCTCTTTCGAAAAAGTGGCTCGCTTTTTCGAAAAATCTTCTTGTTGTCTAGACACTCTTTTTCGAAAGAGGCTTTTTTGAAAGATACTTTCAAAAAAGCCTCTTTCGAAAGAGGCTTGTAGTCTAGATGTACCCAAGGGAGTACTTCTCACCTTCGTAAAGTATCGCCTGTGAAATATGTAGTGTAAATACATAGAATGCATGAATGTTAGATGGTGGAGGAAGAAGCTTCTCCAGGAAGAGGTGGTGTGACCTAGTGGCTACTGTGCTACATTTGGAGTGGAAAGATCTGGGTTCTTATCCTACTGCTGCTACTGGCTTGCAGGGTGACATTGGGTAAATCGGCTTTTCCATGTGTAAAATAGGGATAATAGTAGCAGGTTAACCTTGAAGCTACTGATGAAAAGTGCTAGCAATCATTTGTGCTGCTGGTGAATAATGCACCCACTCTCTACTCTACTGGTTTGAAAAAAAATATTCCCCAGAGCACCATTGTGTGTGTACTGTTCATGGCTCTTTCTCTCCTGATGGTTTTTGAGAGCAATGCTATGCAGCTCTCCTTTTGTTGCTGGAATGGACTTTGGCTTGAGAAAATTCAGAATTCAGAACAAAGGATATTAATATGTCATTGGTATAATCCATTCTAAGGATACGTCTATACTGCATGCTTATTTTGAAATAAGCTATTCTGGAATAGTTATTCTGAAATAGCTTATTTCAAAATAGCACGTCTACACTGCAGGGAAGCCTCAACATTAGTCCAAGGCATACTTCCCTAATGTAGACTGAACTAAGTCCTTAATCGGATTAACTGTTACACCTCATCCAGGCGAGTAGATAAGCGGAGATGTCGAGCCCTGCTTATGTTTTTAGGCACTGGCTGCTCTTGAGAGTGGCTGCCAGTCCGTATTTACTACAAATACAGCTTGTAAGTGAAAGTACACACATATACATGCATGCACGCATGCACACGCACACTC